TAGGTGAATCTACGAAAAATATAAAAAATAATTTTACACGCAAAAAATTTGACCAAAATACCCTCGAAAAGTTGTATTTTGGTCAATTTATTTTTTTTAAATAATTTTTATATATTTTTAATAGGTGCGCCTTGATGAGAAGAATACACGCCTAAAATTTTAAACTATTTGGATTTGTAAAAAATAATAATAATAATAATATTCAAACACTATCGGAAATCCGTGAGGGTCAGATCAACCACATAGTAGCCCATATTCAATCTGGGCAATTCGCATATGGGCATACAGCGGTGACTCCCATACATACGCGAATGGCCCAGATTGAATCTTGGCCATTTTGTGGCCGATCTGACGCTCACGGTTGTCCGACAGTGTTTGAATTTTAAATTTTTTTCTACAAATCCAAATCATTTGAAATTTTAGGCGTGTGTTCTTCTCATAAAAGCGCACCTAATAAAAATATAAAAAAATAATTCGTAAAAAATAAATTAATTAAAATACTCCCAAAAATGTTTTAGGGGTATTTTGATCAATTACTTTCATGTAAAAATTTTTTTGATATTTTTCGTAGATTCGCCTAATTTTTAAGAATACACGTCTAAAATTTTAAGTAATTTGGATTTTGTCAAAAAAAATTAAAATTAAAATACTGTGAGCGTCAAATCAGAATCTGGGTCGTAGGCGTTTACTGTATAGTACGCATTTGAGCGTACAACATCTTTTTCCATATATATATATATATATATATGGATTTTCTAGGATTAACAAGCCCCCAAAAACAACAAGTTCAAGTTAAAATAAGTTTGAACCTCAGTTTTTACCCCCTTTGCCCTCATATAAATGAAACCCAAAGCCAACCCACAAGGGCAATATGGACCTTGGCTTCAAAAGCTCAAAAAAACAGTAAAAAGAAAAAAGATAAATAAATAAATAAATAAAAACGAAAAGAAAGAAAAAGAAAAAGAAAAGAGAAGAGAGGAAACGTTTAAACTTTTCCTCCCCATCTCTCTTCTCTCCACACCTCACCCCAAGTCTCTCTCTCTACCCCTCGCCCTCCCCAATCCCTTCTCTCTCTATCTAAAGCAAAGCAAAAGACTCTCCCTCGCCCTGCACCCACGCTCCCCAAGCCTCTCTCTATCTCTAAACCTCGCCCTCCCCAATCTCCTCTCTCTCTATCTAAAGCCAAAGAAGGTTCTTTTCCTTCTTCGAATCAAAAGCCCAAGAGGATTTTATCTCCATGTGATCAAGGTATGTCTCTTCTGGATCCTATTTCGAATTTTGGGTTTTAGGTTTTGCATCCATAGCATTTGCATGAGTATTTTGGTTTTTAGGTTTTTTATGGGTTGTGATTTTGGTTTTATCTCATGGTTTGGACCTTATTTTCATGGTTTGGACCTTATTTCTTAAGATATGTTCCAATTTGCATGGATTTATGCGTTGCTTGATTTTGATTAGTTTTTTATTCCATAGCTTGTTGTCTAGTCTCTTATACTTGACCACTGAAACAATAATCATACATTCAACAGTATTTGAAAATTGAATTTTACAAAATTGATGATCGAAATCCAAATTAACAGAGCATGGTGAGCCCTAAATAAAGATGGCACTATTATTGCCCTGACTAAACCTGCAGGGGAAATCATTTCCTTTTATTTTCTGATCCTTGGGAGTTCTTTTCCCTCTTGAATGTTTAGCTAACAATTTTGTTCGCTTCAAGTATCATCAGATAAATGGAAACCATGCCCACCATTTGTTAAGGTATTTGCATAAAAGCCCAGTTATTCTGATAAGAGGGCATGTAATTGCACATGCAGGTCACGCATAGGAAGTGTGACTGAGCAGGTATATCTGAGTGCATTGATGTTCAGCCGGAGAAAGGTATTGTAGATGACATAAACATCAAAACAATTAGCAGAACGCTACCAGAGTCAATGTGGTGAACTCGAACAAGTAGATATTGCATATAAAGGCTAACTTCCATCTACATATTAGAAGATGGACTGATCTCCCCAAAACTAAATACATGATATAAAGCATGAATTCCCAGTAAATTATCACTAACGGAAGAAGGCTGATGTACACCTACTAACAATACTTTAACATGATGAAATTTGTTGGTAAGCAGAAATTGCAAATGCATGATCTATAGTGTGAAACATATAATGGAAGCTTCTCTAAAATACTCTAGAAGTGTTCAAACGGGTTTTTGTCTTGCTGCAAGAACATCAGCTAGTGCCAAGTCCAAGCAACATAAAAGTAATGGCCCACCAGTTATAAACCAATCTCAACTAAGATTCTTTTTGCAAGTGTTGTAGTTTCAATGAGTTTTAGAAATTAGTTTTTCATTTCTTTTCTTTCTTTAGTGGTTCATTGAGAAATTTATGCATCGAATTTCAACTACGATTTACCCAAATTCTACAATTCTATAATTTTAAAAAAGTATGATTCTACAAAAAAAAATATAATTCTACAATTTTCAGTTTCAAGTGAACAATGTGGGTAATTTTTGGCCCAAATGGATGTCTTCGTGGTTTTGATTTATTTAGGCATCATAATTTTTATGAACAAGCCCCAAAAATCTCTAATGTATCAACATTATCTATTTTAGTCATTTTTTTGTAGGTACTCACAATCAACCTTGAGTCCTTTCTTACAGGTACATAAGTATATGGAAACTCCTCCAAATGAAACCATGCTTGTAGAGGGCTTTGCTTCAATTGTAGAAAACCCATTAGAAACAGTTCCTAGTGATTTAGTTCCATACCATGGAAAAATATTTTCAAGTCATGATGATGCTTATGCATTTTACAAGAGTTTTGCCAAGGCATGGGGGTTTTCAGTGCGTCGTCAACGAACAATTGGAAAAGAAGGTGATGACAATGGAACTACTAGAAGATAATATGTTTGCCATAGGGCGGGCCATTTAACAAACAAAGAATTGTCTGCAAATAAAGGAGAAAGAGATCGATCATCAAAGAGATACAATTTTGGAGCACATATGAGTATCGCACAAGTCATAGAGTCTGATATTTCATATTGGCTTGTTGTAACCTTTGATAATTTACACAATCATGATGTTCTCGAGCCACAAGAAGTTAGAGTTTTGCCTGCTGATCGTAATATTTCAGAAAGCTACAAGCATCGTGTTCAACAATTTTCCAAAGTTGGTATATGTGTTAGAGATATGATGCGGTTGTTTGAAATAGAGAGAAGTCTTAAACCAGGGGAATTACCATTTATAGATAAGGATATCTATAACTTTGTATGTGCCATGAACAATGCGAACCGTGACAATGATGTTCATATTCTCTTAACAAAAGGTAAGCAAATGGATAGAGATAAAGATTTTAAGTACGATTTTACAGTTAGTGAAGATAATAGGTTGGAGCATATTGTTTGGTCCCATGGTTATTGTTCTCGTGCATATAAGATGTTCGATGATTCAGTAGTTTTCGATACAACTTACCGGTCAACTAGTTACTCTATGTCATTCAGCATTTGGGTAGGTGTCAATAACCATGGTGACACATGTTTGTTTGGGTGTGTTCTACTACGAGATGAAAGAGTTCAATCTTTTTCATGGACAATGAAGGTACGTGATATTTTACAAATTTTGAGCTTGTAATTCTTTGATATTCTTACCAATGATGTGTCTTTGAGCATGCTTATATGTTTCTAGTATTTCTAAAGCATGATATGTTGTAGCCATTTGTAGGTCTAATGAATGGAAGGATGCCACAAACAATCCTAACTGATCAGGACATGGCTCTCAAAGAAGCAATCTGTAAGAAATTCCCCAACACTAACATGCATTTTGTATATGGTACTTATTATCAAAATTAACTTGCTGGTTTTCCCTCCTCCTTGGTAAAAGATACAATGAGTTTGACACCGATTTTTACAAGTTATATAATCTTGAGTCCATTGAAGATTTTGAAGAAGGCTGGCATGCATTAGTCAATAAGTTTGCATTGCATTCAAATAGACATATTAACAACCTGTGGAATTTAAAAGAGTTTTGGGCATTACCACACTTGAGAAGCCATTTTTTTGCTGGAATGAAGGCAATGGGACGTTCAGAGTCAATCAATGCATCTGTGAAACGATTCTTGGGTTCACAAACTCTACTTAGTGAATTGATAGATCAGGTATAAGAAATAATGATCTCAATGTCTTCCTTGATATTTTAATATATTGGCATTTTATTCTTTATTATGTTTATTTGTCTCTTTTTGTTGATGACAGTTGTTATTGAGATGAGAGATGTAGTGGGTCAAAGATGTTTGATGCAACAAAAGTCCAACAATGTAGATGTTCGAACAATGTGCCCTTTCGAAGACCATCCAGCGCACGTCTTAAGTCCTTATGCATTTTCTAATATACAAGAAGAAATTATTTCATCTTGACACACTTTTCAAATAAAGAAAAAGGGCAAAAGGTTTATTTGATGGCTGAAGATAATGTTATGAATTGCAGTTGTAAAAGGTTTTGAGTTTACAGGTATCATTTGCATGCATTCTCTTCATGTTCTCTTCAAGGAAAATTTTATTCAAATTCCAGGTCGATATCTGCCAAAACGTTGGAGGCATTATACATCATTGACATCAAATGTTAGCTCGAGCACATCAGCTGCATATGTTGAGCGGGTCTAAACTATACAATCATTAGCGTCAACACTTGGTACAAAAGGTGCAAGATTTGATGATTGTTACAAGTTCATTATGGAGCAATTTTCAAGAATTTTGGAACGTGTTGAAGAAGTAGAATACATGAGGTCTCCTATGGTTGATGAAACATCTGATGCAAGTCTAGCAACTAAAGAGGATGAAAATAGACTTCATTGTGAGAGCATCCATGTAAAAAACCATGTTCGGTCTATCACAAAAGGGTGGCCTCCTGAAAAAAGGTTAAAGCCCCATATTGAAGTTGCCAAGAAACCTAGATATTGTAAGGTTCCTTCATGTGACCAAACTGGCCATGATTGTAGGAATTGTCCATTAAGAAGAGGTTAATTTAGTAGGTAATCATTATATGTTAGAGAACACCATTCTTGGTGTGAAGTTGACACAAGGAGCTAGAAATGCTACTTTGCATATTAGATTTTTGAACATTTAAATGTGACAACTTTGTAATATGTAATTTTGGAGTTGTACATAATGATTATTGTAAGGTTGAAATATGGATGTGATATTGATGTTGTGCATCAAAAGTAATGAATATATTTTTACTTGATTAAATGCACCATCTTTTGCTAATTCACCAATAGGATTTTCAAGCAAAGCATCATTCTTTGTCCCTTTGTGGATATATCATTGATGTGTTGAAATATGAAATTGAGGTATGGCAGGCACGGCTGGACAGCAATTGAGTTAGCCAGTTTTTTTTTGTGTTATAGGTGGCAATGGGTCGCTGCTAGTTCCTCCCACTTGTTCTAGTAATAATTCTTGTGTCTTTTGTGCTATTGATGACAATAAGTTGCTGTTGATTTGCCTCACCTGTTCTAGTGATAATTTCAGGTCTATTACTAAAATCGACAAGGACAAGTAGATGTATAACAAATAAGTAGTTATTTTGCATATCTTCTTTTTGGTCATGTCATAAACACAACAAACCGATTTCACTTTTATCCCGTCTTTGTTTCTAGTGCCCATGAAAGGAACTTGAATAGATTTGAACAAGTTGGTTTGGAGTTACAGGATCAATATCATTTAACTATTGTGACATGTTATCTGTTACCTGTATAATATTGCCAGAGTGGATGTACTTGATTGTCTAACATAATTGTTCCTAATATACAATAGAATGGAAGAAGAGAAGCAAAACATTGCAATTATAGTATTCTTGGTTTATCATATGTCTGTTTGGATATTAAGATCTCAACTTCTACACTTTTATAACTCAAAAGACCACTATGTCGAGTAGAATCGGCTCCTAAACTGATTTTTTATTCACTACTTATAAAATAAAATGGTGTTTTCAATCTAATTACCATTTCTTATTTCATTAAATTGGAAGGATAGAATTGATCATCTCTTCTTCTTAACTGGAAGTTATAATGCAGGGGTTATGGGTACA